AGAATCTAGTGTCTGTCATTTAAAATGTAAGAATGAGATACCTGTATTTTAAATTAATTGTGTAGTTATTGATACACAAAATGTTTCATGGGCATATTTTTGTGTGTATTTTCTGAAAGCTCCGTGTGCACTTTATAGAGTAATTACTGAGAGGCCAACAATTCATTTTTGTCACTTGTATTTTAATATTTAAATTTTAAAATTTTAAATCATTTTAATTAGGATTATTTCTAAAAGTTTCTGAAAACCCTAATGTCTGCTTAGAGACTTCTGTATTTTTTTTTTGTTCTTTAAAATGAAATTTAAAATAATATATTGGATAATATATTGTGAAGAAAATGACTCCCAAATATAAGTAAAGAACAAGTAAACGTGGAGGAATAAAACTAAGCACTAAGACAAAAAGAAAAAAAAAGCTGATATAGTAACTGAGCACAGAGGCCAAGGATGCAAAAGCTCTGGGATCTAGTGGGATATATTGTACATGCTCCAGAAATTCTTAGTTTGTGTGAAGCACTGACATTTCCAGGGAAAGCTTGCCAGGTTTAAGTTCCTGGGCCCCATCTTTAAAGCTGTGAGTCTGGCATTTGCAGCCTAAACTCTCTAGGACAAAAGGCTTATCCTCAAGCAAAAAGGAAATTGGGCCCAAACCAAGTAGGAAAGAATGTTTACCCTCCTTCTTCTTAAAATAAGGATTTTCAGTCCCTTAAAATCACACCATATGGGGTAGCTACCTATACCAACAATTCTGGCCAGAGCCTGGAGTGAGACCTTGATAACTGGTTTCATTTTCCATTCCATGCTTGGTCTTTCTACCAGACCCCATAAGGTTGGTTTACTCCTCCCTTTTCACAGGCTATTAATCGTGTGGAATAGTGGATAGGGCACACTCTCAAGGAGAAAATTGCAAGAGGACTGCAAAAAAGTGAAAGGGGCCAGAAGAATCTGATTATCTTGGACCTTAGTTTATTTTATGTAAGCTTGGAAGCCCATAACTTTCCTTTAAAAATCCTGTTTCTTGTCCAAATGTTCATGTTTTCTCTGAGACACAAGGTGAACATTCAGAAAAGCTGGAGGAAAATCCCCACAGCCCTGTCAGCACCGAGAACAGGAAACATACAGCTTTCCCACTGTAACATATTAACTTGTGATCTTCTCATCACTTCAACTAAGTGGAAATATTTGAAATTTAATGTGTAAAATGGAACTTTGTAAAATTGTGACTTGTCTCTTAAGAGCTGGAGTATACACACCTGGAGTACTAAAAACAAGACACTGATAGCCAGCCAGATATTTGGCTACATGTAATCCTAAACTGTCTGCTCAGTGTTTCATAGTATCCATCATAAGTGATTTAATATTTTCACTAGTCTTTTAACCGTGTATAGATAAACAATGTTTGCGAACCACTATGAATCACAAGTTAAACAGTAGTCAACAAAATGGGGCTGTATAATATTGTTTGCAAAAGACCATAGTATGTATAGACTTAAAGGGATCTTTTTCTTTCTTTCTTTCTTTTTTTTTTTTTTTTTTTTTTGAGATGAGTCTCGCTCTGTTGCCAGGCTGGAGTGCAGTGGCTAGATCTCAGCTCATTGAAATCTCTGCCTCCCGGGTTCAATTCTCCTGCTTCAGTGTCCCAAGTAGCTGGGATTACAGGCACGCGCCACCACACCCAGTTAATTTTTGTATTTTTAGTAGAGACGGGGTTTCACCACGTTGGCCAAGATGGTCTCTATCCTGATCCTGTGATCCGCCAGATGTGGCCTCCCAAAGTGCTGGGATTACAGGTGTGAGCCACTGTGCCCAGCCTAAAGGGTTTTTCTTATTACATTAGGCTCTGGTTTAGATCTAAACTTAGACCTAAATTTAGTTGAATCTAATTGAGTTTCTTCTACATGTAAAGTAGCTGTGCACTTTGGAGGTGAAAGATTATAATGGTCATGAAAACACTGTCTTTGCTGGCAAGCTGCTCACAATTTTGTGGAATGAATAAGAAAGGGACATATTTCTGACACAAAGTGCTTTGGGAGTTCACAGGTAGATATGATCACAACTAGGCAAGATATCACAAAAGTCTCATGAAGAAGGCAGCATTTTAAGATAGTGGCCTTGGAGGACAGATAGGATTTCAACAGGTAAGGATGGTATAGAGCAATTTAAGCAGAGAGAAAGTCAAAAACACAGGCAATGAAGATAGGAAAACAGTGAATTCCCGCAAAAACTTCAGTTTGGTTATGTAGCTTAACAAAATAACTGAACTGGTTTTGGTATTGCCCTTTATCACTCAATGAAGATTCTCGGATTTTAAGGCTGTCCAATTTGGTTATCTGTGACGCTTGTTAAAATGTAGATCCTTTGGCTCTACTCTTTGACAAATAAGATTCAGTTGTCCATCTGGGAATGCACATCTTTAATAAGCACTCCAGTTAGCCTAGGTGCCAAATGTTGAAAAACCTTGCCTAAGTAAAAGGGGAAGAATAAAAATAGACCCTGAGAGGTAAAAGCAGTGTAAGAATACACAGCCTAACTTTTTTTTTTTTTTTCCCCAACGGATGGTAGGGGCAGGGAAGCGAATAGTAGCTAAAGGTCTTGTTAATTTTCGTACAGGTTGAATAGCCTGTGGGATCCTCAATACCAGTTGGTTTCCCTATTCTCCAGAATATGAAATGATCACAAATTAAGATATATGAGAAAAGGCAATATGACTGGTGATGTAAGGCTGAGTGACAACCTTCTTGCTGTCTCCAAGTAATTAAAAGAGTACTTCTCAGAGCAGAGACACAGAATGCAGTCTGATTAAGAGGAAATGGCTTTCAGATCTCAGCAGAGAAATTTAGACTTAGCTAAGTAAAATAACTTCCTGGCAAAAAGGCAATGTTCACAATAACTGTATTGTCTGTCTACACATATGTGTTTCCTCTCTTCATGAAATTGACCTGGGGGAACTTGTAGATGTTGAAGCTAAGATAAATTGGGAGCCTGGTTTGAAGTGACATCCAGGAGCACCTCTCTTTAAAACTGATTTTTTTTTAAAAAGTGATAGAATACTCAGTAGGGCAAAACTGGTGAATTTCCTAGGAGAACTAACTAGGCAAATACTTTTCAAAGCATTTTATTACTTTGAAGATTTTCAAAAATAAAAATGAAGCCCTGAGATTTGCCTGTGTGCTGATCAGAATTAGGAGGAAATTGTTCTGTTCTCTTCTGTCCAGAACTTGTGATTACTCATGTGTCATAATGGTACAATTTCCTCTGATATACGTGCACAGAGCTATTCAGTTTCACATCATTTGCAGTCACTTGCAGCACACTAGGTCTGCTTTTTCTGGGCTTAATAAAGTGTGCACCTAACCAGACTGTAATATAAAGTTGAATTTTGAGCAAGTGGTTGCTTGTTACCTGTGATGGGATGGTTTCTGCACAGGGCTTCACAACCTAAAATGTAAACAAAATGTGCTGTTTCACTTACCATGAAATTGAAGTAAAATAACAATAATAATTTGTTCGGGGGCTCAATGAAGCACACTTCAAACCACATGGATTTGATCATTCAAAGCAGGATGTTTCATAATTCCCATTTCATTTTTGTTCTTCCCACACATATCTTTAAAGTTAGTTAAGTCCTCCTAGATTTCAGTAGCCTTGAGGCAACTATCCAGTCACCTAAGCTAAAATTTATTTACCTCAGAACAAGGGTCATAGACCCAACTGAGTCAACTTTCTATGGATTTTGATTCTCTGTTCTGGGGCTACATCTGCTGTCTCAGGTAATTAAGAGGTGACTAAATGACTCCAGTAAATGGGATTATTTAAAGAGAAGCTGGTTGTCCACTTATTTTTAGACATATAGGAATGATTTTGATCAAATGATGGTTCAAGGACAAATGCTGGGCTCGCTATATCAAAACCAAATGGAGAGCTTTGAAAAGATACAAATGGCATACTGTACCCCACGAGTACTCAATCAGAATCTCTGGAGGAAACACCCAGAAGCTTTTATTTTATTTTTTAACCTTCCCCAGATGATTCAGATAATCAGTAAGGTTAGTAAAGCACTAATCCAAATTATAGTTTCTCAAATGTTAACACGCAGAAGAATCATCTGAGTTCATTGTTAAAACACAGATCTTGAGGCATCAGGTCCAGGGTGACGCCTGAGATTTTGAATTTGTAACAAGCTCCCAAGTGTCACTCGTTCATGTATTTTGATTTATATTACTAATATAAATTAATTTATATTTATATAAATTATATATATATTTATATAAAACAAGGGGCTAGATTACTTCTCATGTTCTTTCAAGCTATATTTTTCTGTGATTATAAAGTGCCTTGTAGAAACTGCACCATATACCCTTCCCTTACATAAGAATTTTTCATTCAAACTAGAATATTTTTCTGAACATAGGCTTTTCTTTTTTTTCAAAGCTGGGCCAGGAAATAATTGACTTATTTTATTTTGCTTGCAGCTCTGCCTTTGTTTCTTACTTTTTAGATTTTGACATATAGCTGAAAAAGTCCCAGAAAGCTGATCTTTCCAAGTTAATCATCCCTGAAGAGTGGCGGACTCATTGTGCACTAAAGCAATCCTTTCTTCTATGTGAGCCAAAAAAAGAAAAACGGCCTGCCAGACACCTGTAAAGAGAAGGCTATCATCATATAGGAATTTGAGGAACTGCTATATGGTACATTCCTTTTCCAAATGGGAGAGAATCAGCTCTCATGATGTCCCAGAGGGCCTTAAAATAAACAAGTGGGAAATTGTAACAGCTTGTCATCTGTGCTTGTACACTAGACTTTCATGTAGTTACTCTAGAGAAATCTAAATAAAAAATGCAGATAGTTCTTTGAAAAATCCTCGAATAATATGTAGAGACTCAGGCTGATGTGGTAAAAAAAAAGGAAGGTTATTTTATACTTGGTATCTCCAACCCACTGGCAAGCAATCTTTTGGAAGGAACAGCAGTTGATTGTGAATTTAGGTTTTGAACCACCATTAGGCAAAGATAGTTTCTCTAGAGAGAATCATGCCTGCTAATTACACATGTACCGGGCCAGATGGAGACAATACAGATTTTCGTTACTTTATTTATGCAGTGACATACACTGTCATTCTTGTGCCAGGTCTCATAGGGAATATATTAGCCCTGTGGGTATTCTATGGTTATATGAAAGAAACAAAACGAGCTGTGATATTTATGATAAACTTAGCCATTGCTGACTTACTACAAGTTCTTTCCTTGCCACTGAGGATCTTTTACTACTTGAATCATGACTGGCCATTTGGGCCTGGTCTCTGCATGTTCTGTTTCTACCTGAAGTATGTCAACATGTATGCAAGCATCTACTTCTTGGTCTGCATCAGTGTGCGACGATTTTGGTTTCTCATGTATCCCTTTCGCTTCCATGACTGCAAACAGAAATATGACCTGTACATCAGCATTGCTGGCTGGCTGATCATCTGCCTTGCATGTGTACTCTTCCCACTCCTCAGAACCAGTGATGATACCCCTGGCAATAGGACCAAATGCTTTGTGGATCTTCCTACCAGGAATGTCAACCTGGCCCAGTCCGTTGTTATGATGACCATTGGCGAGTTGATTGGGTTTGTAACTCCGCTTCTGATTGTCCTGTATTGTACCTGGAAGACGGTTTTATCACTGCAAGATAAATATCCCATGGCCCAAGATCTTGGAGAGAAACAGAAAGCCTTGAAGATGATTCTAACCTGTGCGGGGGTATTCCTAATTTGCTTTGCACCTTATCATTTCAGTTTTCCTTTAGATTTCCTGGTGAAGTCCAATGAAATTAAAAGCTGCCTAGCCAGAAGGGTGATTCTAATATTTCATTCTGTGGCATTGTGTCTTGCTAGTCTGAATTCGTGTCTTGACCCAGTCATATACTACTTTTCCACTAATGAGTTCCGAAGACGGCTTTCAAGACAAGATTTGCATGACAGCATTCAACTCCATGCAAAATCCTTTGTGAGTAACCATACAGCTTCCACTGTGACAACTGAATTATGCTAAAAGAAAAACCAAGCTGAATATGACCTGAAATGCAAGTACCTCAGAACATATCTGCAATACCCAAGCCACGGGGAAGAACTCGCAAAAAAACACAGCTTTTCAGTTCTGCTCTATCTTACTGCTGTGGGGAATTCACTTCTTCAAAGCAGGACCTATGTGGAGCATTATGATCCACCATTATTGATGTTGACATATCCGTGTAGTAATTTTTCATCAAGTCTGTAAATCTTAAAATATCAAATTTCTGTGACATCCTACAAACATATGCTCTCAACTCTAGTCAGTACTTTTACCTGTGACCCTCAGGCACAAAAAGAGTATTAGCTTGGAGCCACCATAAGCATTTAGTTTTGTTACAGCAAATACTGAGTCTTTATATTCAGAGGAGATGTAGGTGTCTTTTTATATTAGTAATCACAGTTTACATGCCATTTTCGTATGTTTGGTTATATTTTAGTGGGATGGATGATATATTACCCTGTGTAAAGAAAATGTTGTAAACATAAGATCATTTTTATCTCTCAAGTGTGATTACGTTTCAGAGTTTGAAGACTATTATAGCTATTTTCTTCATTTTTGTGTCAACATGAAACATTATTTGTCACACCTGTTCACAGAATGAAAATCTGAACTCAGGCCTCTGGCATATTTAAACTAAGAACAATATACATATTTACCTATGATAACCCTCTGTGACTATAAAAGATGCCGTGTTGCATCTACCTAGGACAGGTAGTTTTTCAAAGTCCACACAAGGTGACTCAAATGGCCTCTAAGCCCAGGAGAAAGCAGAAAGGTGACAATCACAGTTCTGGCTCTCTTACACTTTTTCTAAAGAACATTTCTGGAGATGTATGGACCTGCCTAGTAGAGGAAGTTTTTAATCATGCTTCTAGAGATACATTGAGGTAATGTTGACAGGTTCCTGCACTTTCTGAGCCTATGGAAGAAGTAGTGCACTAATGAATCATTAAACCTAGGTCAGAATGAAAAGATGAAGCAAAGTTGGCTAATCCTTTTAAAATTCTCATCACATTTTATTTCTTACTCTAATATAAGGACACTTAGCTTAGACTGTCAAGTTACTTACCCAAGCCAGAGTAAGTCTCTCTGCCCCATCATTGCATACATATTGCAGTCAGTCACATGGACCCTAGAATCCACATTGATTATTTTTGGTCTAGCTTTGCCCCAGACATACCATTCTAAAGCCTCCAAAGTCTAGCTCTTAGCAGCTAGGGAAGGCAATTATTTTACCTTTTGAAAAATGTATAGAAGATTAATTTGGTCAGCCTTGGGCAACCAATGGCCAATGACTTGCCTACTACCTGTTTGGTACTGTTTTGCGGGAAACAGACCCAGGATATTAGTCATAATTAAATCTTAGGTTGTAAGTATGATAATATTTTGAAACATGTTTTAGCAAAAAGCTGTAACTTTAAGAAAGTTCTACTTAAAATCTGTGTGCTATATAATGAAGATAACTTCTATGTCTCACAGAAGGAATGTAGAACCCAATCAAAGGCGTTATCATATTTAGAGGAAAGGGGTTATTTCAGGCATACAGTTATGATACTAACACATCAGGGGAAAACTGGTGACATCAAAATGAATTCTAATATCTAGACTGATGGAAGGTTTTCTAAAGTTTTCTTTGGACAAGTGTTGATTTTACACATATGTTGTTATTAAGATAATACCCTACTAGAAAACTGACTTTGTGCTGCTAGCAAGTGTATCTATGTGTCTTCTAACAATTCATTGTAAGGTATATGTTTTGATGTGTTAAATAAGTTTTCAGTAAGTGTTAAATTGTATTTTAAATAGCATAACTATAACTGTGTCTTGTCTCTTTGCTTTAAAGTGTCTTTTTTTTAGTATAATTTAGTGTTGTAATAGGATTGCAAGTAACAATTTTGTGGAATTGTGAAATAACTGGGTACTTGTAATGTGAGAGTCTCATCTACACCATTTGTGCTTACTATTGTCTCGATTAGCATGAATTACACTTCTTAAGGTCACTTTGGAAGATGATTGATTTGATTTGACTAACATATTGATTTCACTTTGATTACATATTTTTTAAAGAGGAAGGGAAATATTTTCAGGAGATGATTGACCTTCTTAGAAGAATGGTTGAGGGTAGGACCCATTTGTTAGACAGCCCATTTACATCATTCCAGAAAAGAACAAGTATTCAGTGTTCTTATGCTGCTGAGCTGAGGACACCCTTTTTCCCCAGGTCTGCTCATCTAAGTTTGTATTCAGTGCTCTGATTTACTTTATTCACCCCCGATCCCATCAATATGTTTTGTCTTCTGCTTGATTCCCTTGCTCTCCCAGGCAGCAACCTGATCAATTCATTCACATCATGGTGCTAATAGCTAATGTTAGCTTAATATTAATTTACCCAGAAATATCTGAATTCCAGGCTTTAGGACTACGCATTAAACCAAAGTGGTGACTTTCAATGGAGGGCTAATACCTACTGAAGCAGACAGACTGGAGGGAAAGATATTTTGAAGAAAGTGGGTCCTACAGCACTGCCTTTCATATTGTATATAGTAAGCAAACACCTACTTTGCTTGCCATAATGAGAATGCTGACTTTTAAGAAATTAAGAAATGTATCCATGAACATGGCTATCAGTTTCTCAGATGTCTGCTCATCTTCTTTTCATTTTGCCACTCTCCTTTCCTATACTGGGCCTGACTTTCAGGGGGAAGTCTAAACTAGTAGCTTACTAATTTAGGAGTACTGCTGCAGCTACGATCCAGACAGCAGCCTCTTCTCTGAGCTTCTCCATTCCATGGCTTATCTTTCCTCCAGACTTCTCATTTATCACTCTCTGGGTTCCATGAAATTGTGGTGCAGAGAGAAAACACCCTCAACCATAGTAACATATACTTCAAGATAAATAATTCCACATTTCCTATATAAAGTTGTTGAATTTTGATTCAAAAATGCATAAGTATTCCAATAAGAAAATCTTTGAATATGTAGTAATTTCTATGTAAAAATATTGTCATTATTATTATTATTGAATTCAAATGGTTTATATGTTTTCATTGTCACCCAGTTAAGCAGCCAATTCTATTAACTGATAATTCCACAAAGAGAAGCCATCTGCCCCAGGATCAACAGAACAAGCTGCCTTGGGCTGAGAGGGTGCATCTGTGGAACTCTTGCGCAACTTACATTTTATGTCCCATTTTGATTTTATTCCCAAGATACTGTGAAAATGTTGCACTTGGAATTTATTTATGGCTATAACTTATAATATTCATTTTAATAATAAAGATTGTCTTTGTAATTACATAGAAATTTTCTGCGTCCAGAAGTCAATGTGTACTTAGTCACTTCTTTCAACACACTGATAGACTTGATGATCTTTGTTAGTGTTCTCACATGCATGGATAAAAGTCCCCTAAGACTCTATTCTCGCTTTTTCTCTCTTTTAGAGGTGCAGTCTATTCTTGAAAGATAAGCCACATCCCCAACTTTATCCCACTCTTGCCACTCACTCCGTCCATAGATAGACGTTTTATATTCATATTCTGCTAAAAATTATTCCCCATCTTCACTGTGGACCAAGTTTTTGAGAACTACTTAAAGCAATACATTTGTAATGATGGAACAGAGAGAATATTTTCTTCTTAGTCTTAAGGGTTGTTAAGATGTGGCAGTCTGAGTTTTTCTCTGGATTGTCAGGGGAAAATAAAATCTCATCCTCTACTGTCCCCCCGTGCTCTTCTCAAAACAAATCTACTTAAACAAAAAAAAATGTGTAAAGTCAGGAAAATTGTCTCTGACCCTTTCCTCAGCCTGGCTCTCTTTCTTCTACTTCAGTAGCTCCCTCATCATCTCGCCTATATCCCTAGCACTTCCAAGACCCCAAATATCTTCTATAATAACGAAATTTTTAGGAATTACACATTTTGGCTGTTGCAAAAATATTTTCCTAGGAAGTGGTGAAGGGTTTCCCAAGGAAGAATTTTTGATGCTTTGGTAAACCTGAATAAAATAATGGGATATAGATACCAGACATGCCCCATGCTTCAAATGCCCTCACATTTTATAGAGACCTCTTCTGTGCCCTCCTGAAGTCTGTCCAGAAACAACTTCACTGTCTTTGCCACCATATTTTGATGGAGTGGTGGAGGTAGGGGAGGAAGGCGTATGAGATAAACTCTCAAGTAAATGTGGCTATTTTCACTTGCTTATTTCTTAGTTATTAAAGGATGTGGTATGGGGATGGGGAGAGCGAATTGTAATTTTACTGAACTTCACAGACCATTTCATCTTCTTCAGAACTTCTTCAGCCTTAACCACTACTTGATTTTGCCAAATAATTCAAGTAATATAAATATGCCAATACTATATTGTTTCTATTGTTTGTTGAATAATTATTTTCATCCTACTTCTTACTGCAATGCATATCTTCTGATTCAGCTACAGGCATAGCCCTATTCAACGCCTTCCACTTGCCTTCTTGTATCTCTTCAAAGAATAATAGAACAACTGCTCCATAGGGAAGGCTGTCATTAGGCCTCCCCTTCTGACTCCAGCATTTACTTTTAAGCAAGAGTTCTTGAAGTTTGATTCTGGCCCATAATAGTGAGATTTTTCAGACATTTCTAAGCAATGTTGAGTATCTACAACTTGTAAGAAGACTTGTAGCATTCATTATCTTTTAAAATGCTACTCTAATAAAAGGACAAAAATAAACAAAAAGAGTTTGAAGAAATGATGGTTCAAGTTATGACACTGGCGTGGAAGCATAGAGGAAGCAGTCATACTATAAATTACCCACACCATCTTTGCATAAAGTAAAACCCATAATAACAGCTTAAAAAGGTTCTGAAATCACATTACTGCCCTCTGTCATTAAACGAGTTTAACTTTTTCACTAAAATGTATATAAGGAGATAATACTATGAAAAAAGTAATTCGGTAAACTTTTTACTATGAGAAACTTCAAACATCTTCATAAGAAGAACAATAAATACAATGAACACCCATTATTGAAATTCAAGCAATATCAACACATGACCCAGTCTTCTTTCTTCTATGTCTGCATCCAATCCCCTACTCCAGATTATATTAAAGTGCATTTCCCTTATATAATTTAATCTATGAATACTGTAGTAAGTCACAGTATCATTTAAATGAACTGTTTAATGTATGATCAAAAGATGCCGAGGAATAAAACT